GGGGACTTAGATCGCTTAACTATGTCTCTCAGGGGTGTGGACTTTTCACATCCCTGACAGATGTAGTTAAGCCAACCTAATTGTCTAGTGTAGGCCCATGCCATGTATTTCTTGTACCCAGTAGGTTGCAGGGCTGCTGCTAGTAGGTCAGGCTCTTGTACCAGATAGAGCCTGGCTACAGAGCTTCCTTTATAGACAGAGATGCCAGACATGTGTCCTCCAAGACCGTAAGATACCTTAGTGCACTGCTGGCTATAACTGTGACCAGCTTAGATAATGTATGTCACATTGTGACATTCTGTACCTTGGGGGAGTGTGCTGTAACCCCCATATTCCTCATTTTCATATAATCGTGATCTTACGTATAGAGCATGCCTTGTAAGGTATCAGGGGAAAGGTTATGATCTGCTGAAAGTCATTTCTCTATCCATATATGTATATCATTAATGCATCTTAAGTTATGAGAATTGTGTAGTATGGTTGTCACTAAAACATGCTGTAAGTTGGGGAATCAGCCAGATATTCGCTCCCCAGAGGCAACAGCAAGGAAAGTAACCAACACTCGATGGGTTGTTTGACTCCCCGCCCAACAGCCATTGTCCAGCAAGGGAGCTACAATGCAATGACTCACCTGCTTGTGGCCACATCAGGGGAATTGTTCAACCTTGCTTGGAGAAACTCAGTAATGCTCACCTGACTCTGAAGGGCGGGGAGTGGGGGAGGGAGGGGCAAAGCCAAGGGGGAGGAAAGGACACGATAAAAGGAAGAGACGTTTGCCAGCTCTTCCTCTCTCTTCCTCCTACACCTACAGACACCACACCAAGCGACTAAAGTGCTGATCAAAGGGGAGAGCCTGGCTGAAGAGCAGCCAGCCAGCCTGTGGTGAGAAGCATCTAAATTTGTAAGGGCATTGAAAGTGTTAAGATCAGCTTAGAATGTGTTTTGCTTTTATTTCATTTGACCAAATCTGATTTGTTGTGCTTTGACTTACAATCACTTAAATCTATCTTTATCGTTAATAAATGTGTTTGTTTATTCTACCTGAAGCAGCGCGCTTGGTTTGAAGCGGGTCAGAGACTCCCCTTGGGATAACAAGCCTGGTACATATCAATGTCTTTGTTAAATTGATGAACTCATATAAGCTCGCAGCATCCAGCGGGCATAACTGGACGCTGTAAGATGGAACGTCCTAGGGTTGTGTCTGCGACCAGAGATAGTGGCTAGTGTCATTCGGTTGCACAATACAAGGAGTAGCTGACGTGCCAGAGGCTGTGTGTGAACAGCCCAGGAGTGGGGGGTTCTCACAGCAGAGCAGCGTAAGGCTGGTTCCCAGAGTCAAGGATTGGAGTGACCTAGCAGTTCTAATTAATTAAATGAATTAAAACAGGTTTAATTTAAAACAGTTTTTTCACCAACACCAGTTACCGTTCAGTGCTCGGGAGATCGAATGTCATCTCTGATGTTATTCCTGATAACATCAGAGGGGAATGTCACACACATACTGTGCCAAGATGACATACTGTGCCAAGCAGCGACTGAACCATATAATACAGTTTAGGATTCCATCGCAGAGGGAGGGCGGGGTCCAAGGGTGTAGGGAGGATCCTTCCCTGTGGTATGGGAGTGCCTGGCCTGCTGCCAAGCATTAACTGCATCACAGCTGGTTACAAACTCTCATAAAAGTGCCAGGCTTTGTCCGTGTTGGGGGTTTGCCCCAATTCCAGCTGTTGGGGTAGCTGCCCCAGTGCAAAGCCCTGGTGTAAGTGGGGGAAGTCACCCCAAGCCATGATTTTCACTGGTGCAGCTTAGCCCATGTTGTAGCTAGCTACGTGCGGATAGTTACCCCAGTTTGTTTTGTACCCGAACCCCTTTGTGGAAGACTCGAGAAGCTTGATACCAGCAAAGATGTAACAGCCTTTCCATCAGGGAGTCAACTGCACCAGTGCAAATAGCGGGTTTGTGTGTCTGTGCCTAGGGGGCAATGCTGGTCGGAGTTGGTGCAAATTCCCAGTGTGGATACGGTCTGAGCATCCCATGTAATAAGAAAATCGCTGTGGAGCTGTGGAAGGTGTAAATAGCACAAGCTAATGACGCAGGTGATTAAACACAAAGCAGATCAGTTAAGAACGTAACCCTCATTTTTATTCCCCCTAGGGCAGCTCTTGTGATAATTACGCCTTGCAGTGTCATCCTCAATCTTCAAATCTGAATGCGTCCTGGTTTCGAAAAGCACTAACAGCCCAGTGTCAACCAGAGCTCGGGAGTAACCTTGGAACTGGTCTGCTAGAATGTCACACAAAAGACCTGAATTCTCAGGTAAGATGATATACTCTGAAACCATACCCTTACCGTGAACATTGTTACATGCAGAGCACTGGTCTCCAACCTTTTTATGCACAAAATCACTTCTTGAATTTACGTGCAACCCAGAATCTACCCCACCACTTCCCCTCGGCCCTGCCCCACTCATTCCATCCCCCCTCCCTCCGTCACTTGCTCTCCTCTACCCTCACTCACTTTCAGCAGGCTGGGGCAGGAGGTTGGTGTGCGGGAGAGGGTGAGGGGTGCAAGCTCTGGGAGGGAGTTTGGGTATAGGAGGGGTCTCAGAGCTGGGGCAGGGGGTTGGGGTGCGGGAGGGGGTGAGGGGTGCAGGCTCACACCGGGCAGGGCTCACACCGGGCAATGCAGCGGGGCTAAGGCAGGCTCCCTGCCTGCCCGGGCCCCACGCCACTACTGGAAGCAGCCGGCATGTCCCTGGGGGCGGGCACGTGGCTCTGCCAGCTGTCCCTCTCTGAAGGCACTGCCCCCACAGCTCCCATTTGCCAGGAACAGGGAACTGCGGCCAATGGGAGCTGCGGAGCTGGAGCTGGGGCGGGAGTAGCTGTCCTAGCAGATGCGGGGGAAGCTGTACACATGATATATCTTGACTTTAGTAAGGCTTCTGATGCAGTACGTTGTGACATAGTCATAAGCAAACTAGGGAAATGTGGTGACTCTAGATGAAGTTACTATCAGGTAGGTGCAAAACTGGTTGAAAGACCGGTTCTCAAAGAGTAGTTATCAACAGGTTACTGTCAAACTGAGAGGATGTGTTGAGTGTGGTCCCACAGTGGTCATTTACTAGTCAATATTTTTATTAATGACTTGGCTAATGGAGTGGAGAGTATGCTTACAATCTGTGGATGACAACAAGCTGGGATGGGTTACTGGTACTGGAGGACAGGATTAGAATTCATAACAACCTTGACAAATTGGAAAATTGATCTGAATTCAACAAGATGAAATTCAGTAAAGACAACTGCAAAGGACTTCACTTAGAAAGAAAACAGTGAAATGCACAACTACAAAATGGGGCATCACCAGTTAGGCAGTAGTACCGCTGAAAAAGATCTGGGTGTTATAGTGGATCACAAACTGAATGAGTCAACAGTGTGATGCAGTGAAAAAGGCTAATATCATTCTGGGGTGTATTAACAGGAGTGTTGTAAGTAAGACACGGGAGGTAACTGGCCTGCTCTACCCTGCACTGGCAAGGCCTCAGCTGGAGTCTTGAGTGCAGTTCTGGACACTTTAAGAAAGACATGGGCAAATTGGAGAGAGTCCAGAGAAGAACAAGAAGAAAGATAAACAGTTTAGAAAATCTGACCTGTGAGGAAAAGTTTAAAAAATGGGCCTACTTAATCTTGAGAAAAGAGGCCTGAGCGGAGACCTGAAAACAGTCTTCAAATATGTTCAGATCTGTTATAAAGAGAAGGTGAGCAATCATTCTCCATATCCATTGAAGCTAGGACAAAAAGTAAATGGCTTAATCTGCAGAAAGGGAGATTTAAGTTAGATATTAGGAAAGCTTTCTAACTGTAAGGAGAGTTACGCACTTTATCAGTTGTTAAATATACCTAATGCTACAGAGAAGGTAAGGTCAGAGAAATGCACTTTGCACATGAACCAGTAAGTGGTGAGGTTTGTGATGTTCTTCAATTCTTGGGCAAGTCCATTTCACACTCCCAGAGCACCCCAGGGAAAGTTCAGTCTGCTGCACAGACGAGGTTTGCTCGTATAGTTGAGAGTTCCATTGGGCCAGAGGACCGAAGTTATAGACCACAGTCTTCATCACACAGCTTCAGAGGGTGTTTTAGGTATCCTGGGACCAGACCATGGAGCATCTTTGAGATAAGGACCAAGACCTTAAACTTGACAGGGCTTCATGCACAAGTCCATGGGTCCAGATCTAATGCATCAGAGGGTGCTGAGGGGGTTGGCTGGTGTGATTGCAGAACCATTGGCCATTATCTTTGAAAACTCGTGGCAATCAGGAAGGTCCCAGATGATTGGGAAAAGGCAAATATAGTGCCCATCTTTAAAAAGGGAAGAAGGAGAATCCGGGGAACTACAGATCGGTCAGCCTCACCTCAGTCCCTGGAAAAATCATGGAGCAGGTCCTCAAGGAATCCATTTTGAAGCACTTGGAGAAGAGGAAGGTGATTAGGAACAGTCAACATGGATTCACCAAGGGCAAGTCATGCCTGACCAACCTGATTGCCTTCTATTGCCATGAGATAACTGGTTCTGTGGATATGGGGAAAGTGGTGAATGTGATATATCTTGACTTTAGCAAAGCTTTTGATACAGTCTCCTACAGTATTCTTGTCATCAAGTTAAAAAAGTATGGATTGAATGAATGGACTATAAGGTGGATGGAAAGCTGGCTAGATCGTTGGGCTCGACGGGTAGTGATCAATGGCTCGATGTCTAGTTGGCAACCGGTATCAAGTGGAGTGCCCCAAGGGTCTGTCCTGGGGCTGGTTTTGTTCAACATCTTCATTAATGATCTGGATGATGGGATGGATTGCACCCTCAGCAAGTTCGCAGATGACACTAAGCTACGGGGAGAGGTAGATACACTGGAGGGTAGGGATAGGGTCCAGAGTGACCTAGACAAATTGGAGGATTGGGCCAAAAGAAATCTAATGAAGTTCAACAAGGACAAGTGCAGAGTCCTGCACTTAGGACAGAAGAATCCCATGCACTGCAACAGGCTGGGGACCGACTGGCTAAGTGGCATTTCTGCAGAAAAGGACCTGGGGATTACAGTGGACGAGAAGCTGGATATCAGTCAATAGTGTGTCCTTGTTGCCAAGAAGGCTAATGGCATATTGGGCTGCATTAGTACAGCGTTGCCAGCAGATCCAGGGAAGTGATTATTCCCCCTCTATTCGGCACTGGTGAGGCCACATCTGGAGTAGTGTGTCCAGTTTTGGGCCCCACACTACTGAAAGGATATGGCCAAATTGGAGAGAGTCCAGCGGAGGGCAATGAAAATGATTAGGGGGCTGGGGTACATGACTTACAAGGAGAGGCTGAGGGAGCTGGTCTTATTTAGTCTGTAGAAGAGAAGAGTGAGGGGGGATTTGATAGCAGCCTTCAACTACCTGAAGGGGGGTTCCAAAGAGGATGGATCTAGGCTGTTCTCAGTGGTAGCAGATGACAGAATAAGGAGTAATAGTCTCAAGTTGCAGTGGGGGAGGTCTAGGTTGGAAATTAGGAAATACTATTTCACTAGGAGGATGGTGAAGCACTGGAATGGGTTACCTGGGGAGGTGATGGAATCTCCACCCTTAGAGGTTTTTAAGGCCCGGCTTGACAAAGCCCTGGCTGGGATGATTTAGTTGGGGATTGGTCCTGCTTTGAGCAGGGGGTTGGACTAGATGACCTCCTGAGGTCTCTTCCAACCCTGATATTCTATGATTCCATGGGAAACTAATTTAGGGAGCGGAGAACAGGAGTTATGAGCTCGTGGTAGCATGCATAGCTGAGTTGATGCATTGCTGTGATTTGTACTAGTTGGAGTTTCATAAATGCTGAAAGTTTCAGGCCCAGGTTTATTGCATTTCTGTAGCCCAGCCAAGAGGTGACGAAGGCATGAATAAGTGCAGCCAGGTCTTAGTGTGTGTGCAGCACCTAGCGCAGTCTCGGCCTCTAACAGTACTGTAATGCAAATAACAATGCTGGGTTTATACCAGTAAATGTGTCGGTGTCTCTGCATGCCATCTGTACTGAACCTCGGGTCTTTTATTAGTGAGCCTTGTAGCTGGTGTCCATCTCTAGCGCAATCACACTAACGAGAAGGCCCTTTTAATCTGAAAAGGTGCCAAGGGGGAAGATATAGATGAATCACCTGCCAAGAAAAAGAGGAGCTTGGACAAGTCTCGAGCATGTGTATTGAAAGAGCAAAAGGTCCTGAAAACCTGTAAGTATGAAAAACTTCCCCCAGTCCCTGCTGATACCTGGGTGCTGTGCCGGGATGTGCCTGAAATACACGGGGCTTTGGGGGGAGAGGACTGACTCCAGTTTTGCCGGCTGTGATTGCAGATACAGAAGCTGCTCTCCCTCCCCAGGGCTAGGGTACAAGGCTGCACCGGCCCATGTTCCTGTCACTGCTCTATGGCACTTGCAGCAGGGGGGATCAAGGCCGCAGCATCCCATGGAAGTTGTGATGTGTCTCAGGGCACACAGGGCTGTGTGTCACCTTGTTGCCACCTGCTTCCAGTGTGAGGGAGTCTTGTGCCAGCTGGGCGTTAACGCTATAATACAACCAGCCTGTCAGCCACTCAAGCACTCTCCTCTGGGTTACAGCAGCCCTGCTTTGCCCTGCAGGCTGACAAGAGACACATGCCAGCCCACAAGTGCCTTCAAAGTGTCCCACTGGTCTCTGGATACCCACAGAAATCCCAGATCCTCTGTTCCCAAAGAAACAATGCATCCCAGTTTTACCTTAGCCCACCGCTCCTGTACCACGCACAGCTCTTGAGTTCAATTATAGTTAGGGCCCCATCAAATTCATGGACCATTTCACAGTCGTGGACCGTTTCAGTCATTTCACAGTCAATTTCACTGTTACCAATCTGCCTGAGACGTCAGGTGATTAAGCTGAGGCCACAGGATTTTTAGGGGAGGAGCTGACGAAACACACCAAGTGTTTAAGTTTTAAAGCTTTATTAATAAAATAACAGCAGAGAGTGATGGGTGCTTCCCTCGTTACTTAGAGGAAGGAAGAAAGCGTTAGTGCCCCAAGCCCTAACCCACTTCTATACTTTATCTACCTCTCCCAACAGCTTAAAAAAAATTTAATGGAGATATCCCATCTCCTAGAACTGGAAGGGACCTTGAAAGGTCATCAAGTCCAGCCCCCTGCCTTCACTAGCAGGACCAAGTACTGATTTTGCCCCTGATCCCTATGTGGCCCCCTTAAGGATTGAACTCACAAGCCTGAGTTTAGCAGGCCAGTGCTCAAACCACTGAGCTATCCCTCCCCCTAAGTGTCATCTGCCGAGTTGCTGAGGGTGCAATCCATCCCATCATCCAGATCATTAATGAAAGTGTTGAACAAAACCAGCCCCAGGACAGACCCCTGGGGCACGCCGCTTGATACTGGCTGCCAACTAGACATGGAGCCGTAGATCACTACCTGTTGAGCCCGACAATCTAGCCAGCTTTCTATCCACCTTATAGTCCATTCATCCAAATCACCTTCCCCTCCTCCAAGTGGTTCAAAATGGATTCCTTGAGGACCTTCTCCATGATTTTGCTGGGGACTGAGGTGAGGCTGACCAGTCTATAGTTCTCCGGATTCTCTTTCTTCCCTTTTTTAAAGATGGGCACTATATTTGCCTTTTTCCAATCATCCGGGACCTCCCCCGATTGCCACAAATTTTTAAAGATAATGGCCAATGGCTCTGCAATCACATCAGCCAACTCCCTCAACACTCTTGGACGCATTAGATCTGGACCCATGGACTTGTGCATGTCAGCATTTCTAAATAGTCCTTAACCTGTTCTTTCATCACTGAGAGCTGCTCACCTCCTTCCCATGTTGTGTTGCCCAGTGCAGTAGTCTGGGAGCTGTCCTTGTCTGTGAAGACCGAGACAAAAAAGCATTGAGTACTTCAGCTTTTTCCACATCATCTTCTCCCTCATATTAGCCTCCCAGGGGATCCTGCCAATCAGTTCCCTGAGGGAGTCAAAGTCTGCTTTTCTGAAATCCAGGGTCCGTATTTTGCTACTCTCCTTTCTTCCTTTTGTCAGGATCCTGAACTCAACCATCTCATGGTCACTGCTGTCTAGGTTGCCACCCACTTCTACTTCCCCTACCAATTCTTCCCTGTTTGTGAGCAGCAGGTCAAGAGGAGTATGGCCCCTAGTTGGTTCCTTCAGCACTTGTACCAGGAAGTTGTCCCTAACACACTCCAAAAACTTCCTGGATTGTCTGTGCACTGCTGTATTGCTCTCCCAGCAGATGTCAGGGTGATTGAAGTTCCCTATTAGAACCAGGGCCTGTGATCTGGAAACTTCAGTTAGTTGTCCGAAGAAAGTCTTGTCTACCTCATCCTTCTGAGGTATTACCACCCTTACTTCTGCACTCTTGCTGGCGAGGCATGCCTTCAGAGCTGGGTGCCTGGCTAACAGCTACCACTCTCTGGCTGCCCACCTCTGAAGGCAGCACAGAAGTAAGGGTGGCAATACTACAAACCTCCTAATATAACCTTTCGACCCCCCTGCAACTCCCTTTTGGGTCAGGACCTCTGATTTGAGAAACGCTGGTCTCCCCCATGAAATCTGTCTGTATAGTATAGGTTAAAATGACAGACAAAACCCCCAGATTTCACGGGGGGAAACCAGATTTCACGGTCTGTGATGCGTTTTTCATGGCCGTGAATTTGATAGGGCCCTAATCATAGTGAAACAAAAAGGAATTAGTTTAAGAAAGACTAGAGATTCAACTGGAAACAAGTGTGAGTGATGGAAACAAATGGTTTCATATAAAACAAAATCATAAGACACGAACTAGGGTCTATACTTACTAATAGTTACCTTTCCTAGCTAATAGGGTAAAGTCTCACTCCAAAGTTCTGTCTTTTGCAGCACTTGCTTGTCCCAAGGATCCAGGACCAAGTCTTCGATGAACCATCCCCACTCATCCTATGATCTGCTTAATCAGTCTTTTGTCTTTATTCACAGGCAGGGCCATTCCTTCATGGCCATATTGTTCCTTTCCCCTTCCAAGTGGTTTGGAGGTTTATAGTTTGTCTTTGATGGTTTTCCATTGACTTTTCTGAGTTGGGGCAAGGCAGACAATTAAGCAATGCACGACATGATTGGCTAACCAGGGAGGAGTGACAATTCCCTTCCGCTTGACTGGACAACCACTGAGACATATGTTCCCTAGTGACTCCCTTTCATTCCAAGACCTTAAGGGCACAAGTTTTCAGTATAGTGACATTATTCCTTAAATATTACGCCCAGGTCCTCTGCACCATGGGAATTCCACTCTGGCCGCCACCCTGCATGCAGTGGGTGCACCAAGTGGAATCTGGCCACAGGGCCTCACTCTTAAATAGGGTTACCATACGTCCGGATTTTCCCGGATATGTCTGGCTTTTTGGGCTCCAAATCCCCGTCCGGGGGGAAATCTCAAAAAGCCGGACATGTCCGGGAAAATCGGGACATGCGGGGCCGGCGGTGCGGGTGCTCGGGGGCCGGGCCGGCGGTGCGGGGCCGGCGGTGCGGGTG